GTGTCTCTGTCCCCCATTTCTCTAGGGCTGGCCAGCTGGGCAGAGCATCGCCAAGTCAACGGGAGAAGCCTTGGCTTCTGGATTTGGGCTCGCAGAAGGAACTTCTGTCTGCCTTGCTTTCCATCCCCTAGGCGTTTTTTTCTCTCGTTTGTTTCCCCTGAATGTATTTATTTTTTAAATAAAACCCAAACGATTGCGTTTTATTCTTTTTTTAAAAAAAAAGAAAGAAAAGAAAAAGAAGGGATTTTATTTTTTTAAAAAAAAATGTAGTGATGAAGCCCGTTCCCGTTAATTCAGGAAAAGCCCTGGGTCCCTGTTCTCCACCTCAAGGGGAACCGCAGAGACAAACGCCTCCAGACTCTACAATCGATTAAAAAAAAAATCAAATCAAATCAAATCAAATCAAATCTTTTTAAAAAATCCCCAAACAATCGATCATCTCATTGTCTTGGCTTCTGGTAACCAGAATCCGCCGCTTCCATTCTCTACCACAGAGTAAATAAACAAATATTATTATTATACTTACAAGAATGTAATAATAATACTAATAACTACTACTACTACTACTAGCAGTTGTGTTGTTGTTGTTAGTTGTCACCACCCTCCTAAGCTTTCCACCACCACCTCAATATTAATACTGTACATAAAAGAACGTAATAATAATAATATAAAGAAAAGAATGTAATAATACTACTACTAATAATAACTACTACTAGCAGTAGTGTTTTTGTTGTTAGTTGTTACCACCCTCCTAAACTCTCCACTTCCGCCTTAATACTAATACTATACATAAATAATGTAATAATAATAATATAAAGAAAAGAATGTAATAATACTACTAATAATAATAACTACTAATAGCAGTAGTATTGTTGTTGTTAGTTGTTACCACCCTCCTAAGCTCTCCACCGCCACCTCAGTACTAATACTATACATAAAAGAATGTAATACTACTACTACTACTACTACATTCGGGTGTAGCTGTGTTGGCCATTTAGCAAATTCAAACAAAAGTCGAAAGCTTGCAACAAGTATATTGTACATTTGGGTTGGCCAATAAGGGTATCACTGATGGGTTTTAATAATAATAATAATAATAATAATAATAATAATAATAA